GTACTATTATCAAGAGATAGATCAAGAAAATTTACTTTGCCAGCTGGTATATTGATCAACGGCAATCCCTAATCCCGGGCAAATGTCATTCAGGACCGAAGAGTTCAATGGATGAAAAATGTGATAACACAGCATAGTAGCTGTACAAATAAATATATTATGTATTAATGATACGAAAACTATCTCATAATACATAAATAATATCGGAAATACTTACATTAAGCTTGAAAAGCAGCCTCTGTCACTTTCCAAGACCGAATGTGAAAGCAGACGTCATCGTCTTGATGTGTCATCGTTGTTGTTGTTGTTGTTTCTTGTATTTTCCTCCGTTGACTTCGGAGCACCCTGTGAGGACAGGTAGATTTCTAAAAAATGTCTAATAATGTCATTATCAGAGTAGTGTCTATAATCGAGATATGTTCACTGCCCTACTGTTGTGAATATCAAATAGTAGGTTCCTGCTTATCTCTTCGATATCACTTGTTATCCCACTGTTTTTTCCAAGAATGTCCAAGATCTCAGTCTTAGAACTGTCTAGCAGGCACTGTAAAAGGTTAGTCGAATTGCACATAATCTTACTGACGATCTGGGGGTTATAGTACTGGACTAGTAGTTGGTATAGTGCATCTAGATGTTTATCTCGGATGGCTTGGTATGTGGAGCAGTGGAGAATTAGGTGCTCTCTATCCTCACTGGCGGCATTGCATAGAAGACAGGTTGAAGAGACTGTGTGCTGGTTGAACTTAGCTCTGTTGGACTGTAGGATATATGTTCCGGTTACAATTTTTGCCTTGATGGAAGCTTTTGCTACTGCTCTGGTGTTGTTTGGTACGTAGTCCCATAGTTGATGTGCTTGCTTTGTTGATTTTGGTTGCAGTGCTAAGTGTTTCAAGGATGGTTTGTCTATTACTTCATTCTGCCATTGGGTTGTTTGGTGTTCCTGTATAGCCTGGTCTATCATGGTTTTCCATTTTCCTGTGGAGGGTGGTGTTTCCATTAGTTCGTAGGCAGTAGGCAGGTGGTATTTCTGTAGGAGTTTCCTTACATGTGTGAACCAGCTATTACTGTTCTGATCTTTTAGCGCAAGTTGACGTCTGGCTACTTCATATTCTGCACTGTCTTGATTCTTGATGATCTTGTAGAATGCTGTTAGTGTATTTTTCTCTATGCATACAGTAATTGGTATAGCCCCCAGGAGTGAGTACACAGCAATGATAGGTGTTTTTACTGATAGCCCTTGGATCTGTTTCAGTAACTTTCTCTCATAAAGGAGCAGTTCTTGTTCTTCGCTTCTAGATAGTATGACCGCCTCTAATCCATATGTCATTCTTGGTCTGCAGAATGTGGTGTAGATCTTATAAGAGACTTTAGGATTGATACCATTTTTTCCATGCAGTCCTGCCCCAAGTAGTGCATACATCGTTCTTCTGCCCAGTTGGATTCTACTTTGGATGTCGTTTTTGCCAGTTGATGATCTTATCAATCCAACATGTTTTGTCATTTCCACTTCTTCTATCTCCTTGTCACCTAAAGTCCAGGTCTGGGTTGGTCTGTTCTTGTGCGCGTTGATTATTATAACGTCGCTTTTAGAAGAGTTGATGGTGACTTTATCCCGCTTGGTTTCATTGTGAACGATATGTAGCGCTTGTTGTAGGTCCGATGGGTTATGTGATATGAGGGCTATGTCGTCAGCAACTGTAGGACATCCAATGAAGGTGGTACCAATGGAGGCTCCAATTTTGTTCGCTCTGAGAATATCAAGAAGCTGGTTGTTGTAAGCCTTGTACAGAGTCGATGAGAGTTTGGCTCCTTGTCGGATTCCCTGCTGGGCAACAAAACCAGTGCTCAATCCTCCTTTCCACTTTACTCTTGTGGTGGCTTCAGTCTGTAACATTTTCATTAGTACCCATGAGTCGTCTGAAATGCCATAGTGGTAGAGCTTTTGGAATAGAATCTCGTGGTCCAGTTTATCAAATGCCTTCTCAGCGTCTAAGGTGGTGATCGCAACACTTTGACCTTTATCTTTTGCCTCATTAATACCTTCTGTTATGAGTATGGCTGCATTTACAGGTGAAGTTTTCTCAGTAAATCCTCGCTGCATTGGATTCTGTATTTTACTTATGGTTGGCTCTATATGGTTTTTTAGGATTGATTCAAGTACTTTTCCAAGTACAGGGGTAACAGCTATCCCTCTATAGTTACCTGGGATTTTGGAGTCTTTATCCTTCTTTAGCACAGGAGTTACTAGCCCAGTCTTGAGTATTTCTGGAATGTTACATTCTCTCTTAATGGTGTTTAAGATGGCAGTTGTGTATTTTACTATAGTAGCTCCACCCTTTTTGAAGTGTTCGGCTGTAAGCCCTAGATGGTCAGGTGCTTTGTTGTTGGCTAGCTTACTGATGGCATTCTCCACTTGCATTTGTGTGATGTCTGGGATCTCACATCTCTTTTTAGGGTCTTCCAGGATTTCTTTGATGAGTAAACATTCTTCTTCATTTTCCTGGTTGGCATCAGGAGTTCCAAGTCTATTGAAGTGTGTGTTCCAGCCTTTTAAAATTTGTTCATCTCCTTGTAGTTTGTGTCCGTCTAGGTATAAGGTGTCAGTTTCTGCACAGTGTGAGGTACGTTGTTCTCGTACCAACTTGAAAAACAGTTTTTGGTTGAGATCTGCAGATTCCATTATATCGCTGTACTTCTTTTCACGTATGCGAGCTTGGGCTTGCCGCTGTTTCTGTCTCAATGTTTTCTTTGTTGCCCTCATGTTGTTGAATAGCATACAGTTTTGTCCTTTTGGAGATCCTTCCATAACCCAGTCATAGTGTGCTTTCTTAGCTATCCTAGAAGCTTGTCCAATATCCTCATTCCAGGGTGTTCGTCCTTTCTTCTTTTGAGTTCTCTTACCGTTGGCTTTATGCTTTGGTATTGCAGTTTCAGCCGCTGTATGTAGAGTGTTGCTGAGGTGTACAATATCCAATATTAGCTGAATATTGGTGTTATCGTTCTGGCATTTGGGTTCTTCGTTTAGATATTCATCAATAGAGGATTGGTATCTGGAATCATCACATTTAATCCACTTTGGTTTATGGTATTCAGTTGTTGTAGGTGGTTCGGTCTTTGTCTTCTTGTGTGGTTTTATGTAGATTTTCCCAGTGGTGAGGACATGATCGGATGTGTTGGTACTTTGCTGACCTCGTATACTGACCTGCTGTATACCATCGTCACTTTGGTCTTGTAGTTTGAGAAGGTAGTCAATCTGTGACGTGCTTTTGTTATCATGGTGAAAGAAAGTTGGTTCTTCAGGGTAATACTCTGGTGTGATGATGCTAAGTTCACCGCAGAATTCCCTCAGTAGATTGTCCAAATTATTAGGGTTTGGTCTATGTAAAGAAGCGTTTAGGTCACCGCCCAATAGGATAGTATGGGTTCTCCTGTATTTTGTTATGGTTTCTCTAACTACATCTAAGGAGTCTCTGTATTCTGCACTTGTATGTTTTCCACCTCTACATGGCATATAAACATTGATTATGCATAGTGGTCTTGGCTTTGCATACAACTCGATAATAGCAATGTGGTTGTTACCTTCAGGGAGTGGTTTAATGTGGCTCGAGATGTTCTTTTGCCAGATAGTAGCTACGCCTCCATATCCTCTAATTCGTTCTTTGTGGCTAATGGGTGAATCTTCATCAACATACCTAGCATCATTTCGCGTCTATATACTTTCGGTCCGTCGTTGTGCCGTATATAATTATTATTTTTTATCAATTCAATTGAGTAAATTAAAAGTTATGAAAACTCTCATATTTAAATTTTAAATATTTAAAACGAAACTACAGAAGTGCTACAGAATAAGACTCATGTTTGAAGACCTGTGAATAGACAACTGAAAGTGTTGGGGCGAAATCATGTGCAGAGAAGCTATTATTAGACAAAGGGACTTTCCTTTCTTTAATTTAGCATGACCTACATGAATATTTTTTTTATTCGGTAATATTTTATGTTTTCTCTATGTCTAATCAAATCAAAGACTTATTTGTAAAAATTCCTTTTATTTTCTGCAAACGGGTCATTAACAAATGCCTGCACAACGTATGCATTTGGAATCCGGAATATCGTTTTTTAAATAAATAAAATAGTGCACACACCTCGCCCCAATTTTTTTTAACATTTATGAGCAACTGATAATAAGTAGATTTTGGATCAAGAAGAATTTTGGGGGGCGAGAAATGTGCACTGTGATAAAATTCTTTAAAATCATCAGTTTTCAGCAAAAATATCAAGAATTTGTAAAACCATGACCGGTTCTAACAACTATACAGCTCGGGATGTGTGTCTATTTTTAAAACCGAGCATGTTTTCTTAAACCCGGGATTCTGATGTTCAATTTTTACTATAAAATTGCTTAGAAATTTTTACTTTAAATTTTGTATATTTTCAAGGCAAAATTTTTGGGTTAGTGAATTTTGTTCTTTTCGTGGTTTAAGGAAAATGTCTTGGTTCGTGGGGATTTGATTTCGTAGATCAAAAATTAATGATTACTTATATATGTATCATTTTATAATTTGTGGTGGACATAAATTCATGGGTCTAGTCATACCTCGAAAACAATGAAAATTTAACCTTAACTACAGTTGGATGCATCATATTTTGCATGGCTGTTTACATGTTGACCAACTAACCTGGTTTGTGATTGGTTTACATGTTGAGCCACTAACCTGGTTTGTGATTGGTTTACATGTTGACCCACTAACCTGGTTTGTGATTGGTTTACATGTTGAGCCACTAACCTGGTTTGTGATTGGTTTACATGTTGAGCCACTAACCTGGTTTGTGATTGGTTTACATGTTGACCCACTAACCTGGTTTGTGATTGGTTTACATGTTGACCCACTAACCTGGTTTGTGATTGGTTTACATGTTGACCCACTAACCTGGTTTGTGATTGGTTTACATGTTGACCCACTAACCTGGTTTGTGATTGGTTTACATGTTGACCTACTAACCTGGTTTGTGATTGGTTTTCCTCCGGCTTCCACAAAGTTCTTCATGTTGATTGGCCCAAAGTTGGAGACTCCGTAATACTTGATACGACCCAGAGAGATCTGTCTGTTGAGTTCCTTAACGGAGTCTTCCATGTTCTCCAAGAAACTGGCAAAGTGGACCTGTATATAGACAACAACAAGAAACTGGCAAAGTGGACCTGTATATAGACAACAACAATAAACTGGCAAAGTGGACCTGTATATAGACAACAGCAATAAACTGGCAAAGTGGACCTGTATATAAACAACAAAAATAAACTTACAAAGTGGACCTGTATATAGACAACAACAATAAACTGGCAAAGTGGACCTGTATATAGACAACAGCAATAAACTGGCAAAGTGGACCTGTACATAGGCAACACAAATTCTACCTGTAATTTTGAAAGTATTTCATAGAAAATCTAAAATGAAATAAATCACAAATAATGGGGCCCAAATAATGAAGTTACAATGCCATTGTTAAAATTTAATTTATCTGAGAGGGCAGAAGGTGGCTGAATCTTAAAACAATATGATAGGAAAACTTCTTAATGGTCTAGCTTCCCTGAAATTCTAATCATTAAAATGTAATTAAGAAGAATAAGACAAGAAGATAAAGAGACAATATAAATACATGTAATATAAACATGTACAATTCTACGACATTCTTCCATTGAGGTGATTTTAGCAAGAGTTATTCCTCATGGCCAACATATTGTAGGTCAACATTCCCAGATCCCTTCATTATTCAACCAATTACAATTTGTTACACTGGTTACTGAGGTAAAGATTACACTATTTTTCTTATGAACATGATGAATATACATGTACATTTGTTTAAGCCTCTTTTAATCAATAATTTTAAAATGGTAAATATTTTCCCCATATATATTTCTCACATACATGTTTAAAATTTGTTTCTCAAAGAGGAAAATTCACTGCTTTGCCCTTCAAGATGGCGGCTAAGGGGAATAACTCAGTGGCAAAATACGTCATAGGAAAACGGTTTCTATAAATAATGTATACCAGTAAAAGGTCAACATAAGATGTCTTTCGTTTATTTAGACTCTGTGTAACAATTTTTTTTTTACCTGTAAGATTCTGTAGTTTATTTAGACTCTGTGTGAAAACTTTTGTTTTTACCTGTAGAATGTCAACATAAGATGTCTTTAGTTTATTTAGACGCCAGGTGACAATTTTTGCTGTTACCTGTAGAAGTCTTTAGTTTTTTTAAACTCTGTGTGACAATTTTTGTTTTTACCTGTAGAATGTCAACATAAGAAGTCTTTAGTTTGTTTAGACTCCTTGTGACGGCCTCATCGATCTGCTGGGGGGAGTAGGGTGGGGTATTGGGTCCCTCCCGGAATCCAAACTTAGTCGCGATGACGGCATCCTGTCGACGTCCGTCAAGACACGCCCCTAGAACCTCTTCTGATCCGGCATAACCCTAAAAATACATCAAAATTATAAAATACATCAAAGTTATAGTTTTTATCCAGCATAACCCTTAGATATATCAAAACTATATATAAAGTACATCAAATCTATAGTTTTATCCAGCGTAACTCTAAAATACATGGAAATTATTTATAAAGTACATTAAAATTATTAGAAACCCTATTACACATGCTACTAAATTAAAATACATCAAAATTGCAACCCTATAAAAAAAGTTTTCAAATTCATATTATTTTAACATGTGTTTAACAATGTGTTTCTGAAATATTAGATTTCTATTAGGGAAATTTATCATCACAGTATCTCAATGTCTGTATATAGGAAGATGACAATATATTTTATTATATTATAATAGCAAATAAATACTGTAAACCAACTTTTGTTTGCGTGCGATAAATTTTCGCAAAGTTCGCAAGAGCTTCATCATCACAAATATTTCTCGCCGCGAACCGGTCCTTAAAAAGTATCTGTTTATAAACTATAGATCCAAAAAGGCTTGAATCCGAAAATTAATCATTGTGAAATAGTTTATCTCCAGTAAATCGCGAAATAAAGTCGTCGCGAATAAAAGTTGGTTTACAGTAGTCTCTAATAAAATACAACCGAGAATCTAGAGAATTTTAGCGTTTAATATTTTGACGTTTCATTGATCGCTGACTTTGTATTACATATACCAGTCTGCCCAAAACATTCCGAATATGAGCGTTCAATATCGAACGCCCCATTGTAAAAAAAAAGTTGTCTGGTCAAATTCTCATGAAGTGAAATTCTCATGAAATGAAGTGGCATTTAAGTAAGTTATGTTTATTTTTCACACAAAATGAAATTATCTATTGAAAATTTAGTAAGTATTAAACTCATTAAAACCTAAATAAGCAAATCATATCGCTCAGTAAGGTCATCAGAATGATGCGATATTGAACGCTTACAGGACAGACGTTAATTTGAATGCCGATATTATAAAAAATCATTAATTTGCCTTTTTTTAAAATGGAATAATTATTATAAATTATGTGGAAATGTCTTAGCTACATGTATATAATAAAGGAGTTATGATTGAACTTATAAAGCATATTTATTTAATATTATTTGATTAAATTATACAAGAAATACATGTAGTACCCAATGTAAGGGGTCAAAAAAGGTGGCATTAATCGAAGGTTTTTACAACGCTTGGACCTGTAGCTCTCTGCTTTATCTGTCCAAATTATCTGAAGCAAAGAGCTACAGTTCTGCAGTTATTAACCATTGTGTTAAATACAATGATGTCAGACGAACATACACAATGGACAATTATTATTACCTTAATTATGAAATAAAGTATAACATTGTTGTAGAAAACATGCTTATAATAAAATGACGCTTATATTGCAGAGCCATTTCATTCTCCTTGTTTTTATACAAGGCTGCTGCAGATCTCTTCTTAAAACTTGAAAAAATCTACATCTGCTGAATTTAATTAATTAGTTAATTATTTTAATTACATTATTGAACCTCTTACCTCTGCCGTGTCAAAGAAGTTTACACCAATCTCAAAACACTTATCCACTATAGCCCTAGACTCCTTAAACAAAAGAACATACATTTATTATACATAAACATGTACATATGTAAGTAATACAATAATCTATCGAAAAAAACAAATATTTTTAGGAGGGGGGGGGGATGTCAATTTTATGATACCAAAATTTTTAAGGGGTGTGGATTAAGTCAATTTTATGATACCAACAATACAATATTATCATAATGTCTAAAATTATGCAATTTTTAAATATAGATACTATCATACAGTGTACTTGTAATTTTGTTCAACTGATCATAATAAATTGTCTTATCATCTTTGTTCCTTTAGGACTTTAGTTTTTATATGAAGTATGATTATTTTTTCTCCTTGAATTTTTTTGGGGGAAAATAAGATACAACTGTACAAGGAACTAGTATTTAAATTAATTCCTATAACTTATCTTTCAAAGTTTTTTTTTTCATGTTCTTCTTTCATGTAACCATAGACTTTATCATACTTTAAACATGTTAAAACACTTTTCTCAAACATTTTTCTGAAAAACCAATAATTTAGAATATTTTTAAGCATAACAAAATTGAGATTTTAATCATTCCAAGAATAAAAAAAATCTTAACTTCGGGAGAAAAATGATTGATCAAGATCATTCAGATTTGTCATGATAATGTCTTCCTCTGTGTAGCCTGATACTATTTTAAGGAAGGACTGTGTCCACTGTGTGTTCCTTTATCTTAACTCTGACCTCATTAGATATGCCATATGTGTACATTATCTGAGGGCACACTTCAGGAATCATCATCATTAAATATTTACACAAGATTTTATTTCAGAGATATTATAAACAAGGCAAGAGGATTTATCTAACTTTCAGGTGAAGCTTTGGATGTGTTGAAATTCAGATTAAACCTAGGAACACAAGCTTAAGGAAAATTAGACTGATTTTATAGTATTCTGTCAGTTTAACTACATGAGATACAGGTACATGTACCGCCGGTACACACATTCAGGATTTGCTTAGAGCATTGATCTTTTAGCACAGTTTCAACATGTTTATTATAATATATCCATCGAGGTTGATCTTGTTAATGAAATAAATGTACAACTTTCCTTATTTCTTCTAGCTTAAATAAATTATAATTATAATATTATAGACCATTTCAAAGAGGATGAGAGTTGAATGATGAATGGAAACTCAAAAGGTTTGCGCTTATAAATGACTTTAGTTATTATTAAAGTGAATGTATTTATAATGTGTATTTTGTATACAATTCTGAAGGAGAAGTGACTTTAATATATTCATTGTTACTTACTCTTTCAAGCAGTACTCAATCTATTACAACAATGAACATTCATCTGTTGGTTTCCATCAGGTGAAAAACTAATAATTTTCAAGTAACTGTGTCACATTCAATTCAATCTTCATATGTGGGGCGTCTATTTAAACCAGGTCAAGCGCTTTATCACTGTCCTCATAAATCATGCTAATATCACATTCTTTTCTGGGTCATATTATAGAGGGCAAATCTGCATTTAAATACACGTACATTTAAATCTGTATGCACAGAGAAGATTTAATATTAATTTAGGTTTTAAGTTATGATAACTAAATAGCTTCGCCATGCTAGAGTGGAGACTCACGGTGTAATATAATCAGCTGATAGTATTATGGATCTATTCCCTTATCAGTCAAGAGATGAACACATTTACACATCTTTAAGGATTTTTATGTTAAAAGATACACAGCTGAAGATTACACCAAAACAGATTTCATCAGCAATGTTATGTAATTTAAACCCCGTAGGGCGCCTCAGCTACAGGTAAGACTCGTACTCGGCGATCATTTAATTGCTTAGACTAGCATTTTAACGCATAATGAAACAGACCTGGGCGATGACTTGACCTACCTCGGCTGTCTGGGCGTCCCAGTTGACAGTATTTTTACCCCCGTTAAACTGCCAACATCCCAGACATATTCTGGACACGTTCAAGTCCGTCCCTGGCAAAGTGATTCTTTTTGCAGCCATGTCGATTAGAAAACGAAAGTAAAACCGGAAGCTATATTAATCGCGCCATCTAGCGGCGATCTCTATCCAGAGTTGTCGTTCCCGCTTCGCTCCCATTTCAGGTGTCTGTGCATATACCCAGATTTTTTTTTTATCGAAAAAATTGTTTAATTATTAAATCAACTTTAAAAATTTTATTTTTTTTTCTCCGGAAAATATTTTCGGCTTAGAAACTAAATATGAATGGTTTTGAGGGATGAGAGAATTGAAATAAATGATATTTTATCACCTTAATCGAAAATTACAAGTTGACACTTTTATAATTTTTGGTATAAATGTTCAATATAGAATTACACATCATAATATTCTAAATTGAGCAAAAAGTCTATTGTAGTACTTGTGGAATTTGCTTTATTATATAAAAATAGTTTAGCTAAAATTAGTTTATAATTATTAAATAATTAATATATGACATGTAATATATATATTGTAATATGTATATAATCATCGGGAGGGAATGTAAATGAAAGTTTGCCCCCTTCAATAATAAACTGATTTATACTGATTTCTACCTTTTCCTAGCCAATAATCTCAGATGAATGATGTGGCCCATCGGATTCAATAGATTTTGTTTCGTTTTAAATTGAAGCAAAAACCTTTATCAATTAAAGCAATACTGCCCCCCTCCCCCTCAAATTACATATCTTCATATTTGTATATTAAACATAATTATCACATGGTGTCTATTTTAAACTTACAATATTTTACACCTCGCCATTGCCGGCTTCATATGGTTTTTACGTAATACCGATATTTTGAATATAATTCTCAATATTTCAGAATCAGAAAAAAAAACCCAATTGATAATTGATAAGAGTGTATTTTTATCGAATATCTATCGTTAAAAAAATGGAAGTGGCGTCATAAGCATGTGCAAGCTGTATAATTATTATGTAGATTTATTTGTTTAGCCGGATGCAATATATATACTACAATGTTATTCCCGTAGAATAACATTCACTTAAGATACAATGAAACTTAATTTGCATTTTGCTTGATTAAATTATTCATGCATTGTCTACGTATTGTGACATTTCTTTGTTTTAATGGCTGTTGGCTAAGTGGGAATATTATAAACAATGTCGATGGTGAAAAAGTGAGAAAAACAATACACATTGTACATATACAATTACGTATATTTAACCAAAAAATTAGTTTTAGAAAGACTTTTGAAAGCCTATTACTAACAGATCTTCCTTAAATTTCCTTGAATTCATGTATAAAATGGAAAACAAATGCGACATTCCTATTTATTATTTTTTTTTTTGACGTGCACCTTGTGAATATTTTACGCCTGAAGGTGTATTTAGACGGAACTTAATGGTATTTTAATTTAATTACGAATCAAGTCAAGTCCTTGACTATACCAATTGCATCATACTATCATTCTTTTAATCTGAAAGAAATGTACTTAAATTTATTCTTTTTTTTTAAATGAGAAAAATGCTGTTTCCCTTGGGATTAAGCATTTTTATCCGTTTGTTACGGTAAGTTATGGAATGCCATATACGACAGCCAACTGCTTACTGCTTACTGCCAACTGTCAGCTGCTTACTGCCAACTGTCACACATATTTGAATAAAGTTTATTTTCATATTGATATTTATGTAAATAAAAAAAGACAGGCGCGGATCTATAGGACATTTTTTCCAAGAGGGCCACTCTGGTAAAAAAAAAATCCAACCCAGAAATTTCTTGACAAGAAAAAAAATACGTAAAGTCCTTTCCTAAATGTGAAAATTTATTTCGGCCGGGGAGAGGGGGTTCTTATGCGTCAACCTTCATGTGTATGACATTTTTCAAACCAACTTAATACGAATCCACATTTTCGGTTGAAGGTGGTGGGGGGGGGACTTTCTACGGTCCCTTTTAGTTGATTTATTTTATACATTCAATAACTTTTAGTTGGTTTATTTTGTGCATTAAATAACTTTAAAAAATTCAGAGGGGTCTTCCGGACCCCTCTCTCAAGATCTATGCATGTAAAACATATTTAATTTGTACTTATATACAAAGAGATATTATAAATGTTTGATCGGCGTTTTCTAAGTGGAGGGCCCAAGGTCAGTTATACCGGTAGTTCATTTGGTTTATATAACGTATGACTGTAAAAATTTTTATACCCCCCCCCCCCCCAAAGATCTATGCATGTCAAACATTATAACACAGAGATAACTAATAGAATATAGTGGAAAAAGAAAATTATTTTTAAAACATCTTTCTCTGCGAATCGACAAATCTTTTTTTTATAATTATTCTCTCTTCAAAGGTTTTGTTTTCTCCGGGGAGGAGGGGGGGGGTCTTTAAAGATTAAAAGCGGCAAATAGTCATTTTATTACCTATTTACACATTTAAAAAAAAACAATGAACTTTATCAACCGCATATCTTGAATATTACATAAGATAAAACATATTGGTCATATTCAATTCAATTTTACCAGGGTGACCCCCTTCGGAAAAAATGTCCTGGATCCGTGCCTTTTTCCCTTATTTAGTAAAAACTCATATAAATATCAATACAAATATAAAATTTATTCAAATATGTGTGGCAGTTGGCAGAAAGCAGCTGACAGTTGGCAGTAAGCAGTCAGCAGTTGGCAGTAAGCAGTTGGCTGTCGTATATGGCATTCCATAGTAAGTAGATATTTTGGAACATGCAGTTTTTATTCTGTTACTTTTTCTTATTGGGTACATGTACCTGAAAAATCCTCATCCGAATATTATTGAACATTGGTCTAAAATTAGGTTCTTATGCTATTCTTCTTTAATTGATTATATTTATAAATGTTTAATTCATCCGTTCATTGAGAACAAAAATTCACGTCATAAATTAAAAAAAAAAAAACATTCCGAAATCAATCATACCTTAATTTAATGGAAAGAGCCAACTTAATAATTTATTTTTTATAATTGATACTTTCTATGAATTTATCACATTTATTAATTACAGGTATAAATTTGGGATATCCACCAAGAAATTGTGTTTTCCCACAATGCCTGCCCCAGAGCACTGTATACTCAGATGCTTGTTTATAGATACGTAAATGGCCGGGAGTGCCCGGTGTCGTGTCATCTTGTCTGTGATGCCAAACCCCTTCACAACAGTTTAAGGAATTCTATAAAAATACCGACCCACACTGCTTCGTAGAGAAGGATATCTTTACAATACCTAATGGAAGAAGATGACTTCCACTGAGACTGTCTCCCTGCATGTCAAATACAAAACTGACTATTTGTTTCACAAATATTCAAAAATTACTAACTCTATTCATGTTATATGAGGCAAATTTAGATCATGATGTTGAAATAGAATTAGAGCTTGCAGAAAATTAAATTCATAGTGTGTGTCTGTTAATCAGTCTCACAGCTTTTAATTTTCATTCTGTTTTGTTTTTGAAAATCTGCTAATTTAAAAAAACAACAACAACAGAAGAATATCTATGTCAGAAGATTTTTTGAGACCAGGTATTCCAAAAGCCTATATTTTGGACCTCCATTGGGTATCAATTGTGCCCTGATATTGGCAGATCCATTTTTCTATTCATATGAAGCAGAATTTGTCCAAAATATCCTATCGGAAAGTATAGAAAACACTTGGTGTGGCCTTCAACTCGCGATCGACATTAAGACATATCGACGAATCGATAAGATATACTCCGGTGATACCAAAGATTCTGACACATCTGTTTCATATTTGGATATTTTGCTTGAAAAAGACAATAAGGTAATGTAACAACCAAGCAATATGATAAACGTGATGACTTTAAATTTGCTATCGTCAACTTCATTGATTATGCGGCTATACATAACTTCATCACATGCAAACGGAGATTTTATATCTCAATTGATTCGATACACAAGAACATGTTCTTTACCTGTGAACAATATCTAAAAGAGGTTTTGACAAAAAAGTTGATGAAACAAGAATATCATCAGTCTCTTTAAAGTCATCCTGAATGACGACTTTCACACTAATTGTTAGTCCATTATTTATATACTGTCGAAAATGAAAAATAAAAAAAATGTCGGAAATGATAAGTTGATAATTACAAGAAATTCCTGAAATGAAATGCAGCCGAATTGAAGACGAATTTCTCCGTTATTTCCTGATCATGACAAGGAGAACACACTGGGTGTGACCGGTCAGTAGGGGATGCTCACTCCTCCATGGCACCTGATCCCACCTCTGATGTTTCAGAGGTCCGTCTTTGCTTTGCTTTTATTGTATATTGTTTAATGGACTTTTGATCTCGAATACTGTTCACTGTCTACATCATTATGTTTCATGAAGACATATTTATCTTGCATATACATGTAGGGGGACAGAAATATGCCATCATTCGATCTTTTGTCCAAAGTCATAACATCAAAAATGTTGAATTTTAGTTGAACCACTTCACAAAATCTTGTCAATGTAAAGGCTTAATTTCACGACAGAAAAAAAAAAAACAAATTGTTCATTGTGAATAAATGACATGAAAACGGATAAAAATATATTTTCAAAAAGTAGAAACGTTTAAAAAATAATGAATACCTTATTATACAACAACGCAGGAAAACATGTTCATAATCTTTTTTTCATTAAAAATCCAGACCAGTTCTGACTCATTTCTAATTTCACAAACAAATAGAAACTTCTTTCTTTTGATGACGTAAGCTTTCTGCATATTTAATGCATTGCGCGTACGAATGACAGTTGAATTGACAGATTCACAAAATAAAAGACAATAATTGTGTATCGTTGATCTTAAGAGGTTAGTTTTCTTACAAAGAGAGGAGCATATTTAAAATAATTAAAGAAATGACTATTTCATCGGGATTTATTTTATATTTATCCATTTGCGGTAAGTATATATTTTTAATATATATGTTAATATTTTTAAGTAATACCATAATACCATAAGTAAATGAGTCTGAATTGACAATTCTGTACAACTAAAACAGAAATGCATAATATTTTGGTCTATATGTAAATGGTAGTTTTTTGTTTTAAAGAGTTAAATCAATTAATTTGAGACTGATTAAATAAAATTATTTGTACATGTATATATCAATCAGTACATTCATGTACCTATCGCTAAAACTATTTATACCTTTCACCACAGGTGTAACCCTAGCTTACAGGTACGACAGAAGAGAGTGTCTCCCTCCGCCCTGCGCCCGACCCCCAGACAATTGTCGTCAGGAATTTGTTTATGAGTACGTGAATGGTCAGAAATGTCCAGTGTCCTGTAAGCTTGTCTGTGATCAGGAATGTCCCACGCCTTCCCAGGAATCCCTGGATTTCTGTAACAACACCGACCCCCTCTGTTTCGCGGAGAAAGACTTCATTACCTTACCCGATGGAAAGCGGTGCTTTAATGGATGCGTCCTAGCTTGTCAAGTACAGGGCTGATTATTTTTGCTTTTTTTATGTAACATTTATTACTCAAGCATGAAAATCTAGGCAATAGTTTTTTTTTTATGTTTTGATGTTTTGAACATATGTTTATCTTTGTATTTTTAAAATTTTCAATTTATAAATAAGTAAGTGTGCAGGAGATTTCAGCTGAAATGTTGGAATAAATGAGAATTCATAAATTTAAAGACGTTGATTTTTTATATATCTGTAATGCTGTCTTTTTTTAGGTCTTGGTTTTATTGTATGCCTGTATTATCGATTTGTTGAGACATTTTTTCAGAATTAATTCTTTTTCGTTTGCTTTTGAATACCACTATTACAAACTTTCCATTCTATATATATTTAATAAATCATTTTTCTATATATCGTCTTGTTTGTTAAGAGAAGATTGCAGCCGATTCCCAAAGCAACCTTCAATAAGTTCACTTGGATATGTCACAACGTTCTATATCTTTGGTTTTTTTTAATCTCACATACTTTTAAAAAATATATAAATGTATAGATTGATTGATTGATTGATTGACTGTATATTGTTAAACGTCCATCTTGAGAATTTTTCAGTCATATGGAGACGCCACCAATTACCGGTGGAGAGCTGCAAATTTTGTCTAATACTCGGCACTTAGGGTCATTGAGCAGGGTGGGCTCTTTTACGTGCCAGCACCTACTGCGACACGAGGCCTCGGTTTATACGGTCTCATCCGAAGGACCGGTCCCCACGTCCCACAGGGGGATTTTAACTCATTACTTCGCGACTCTAGAGCAGACGCTCTAACCACTGCGCCACTCGGACTACTAGATAATATCAGTATGATAATACTGATATTGTATACTCTCTGGTCTAGATTGAATTATTGTCAGTAGAGTGCTGAAGAATATTTCTGAAGAAGAAAAAAGTATTTCAAACTTTTTTTCCTAAATTTAGCGAGCATTGTTTTCAAATCAGAAAACAAAAGGAAATACTATGTCAACAATCTAAATCCTATATTGGTTTTCATTTTTGTTCGAATAAGAATAATTAAATTTGGCACATCTCTTTCCTAATAATTGATATTATGTATTATACCGACAGAGAGTCGAGAACGACATCATATTTAGACTCACTCGTAATCGTTTATTTTTTATTCAAAAGAGAATTTGAATATCTGGAGTTTCAAGGGGACCGTATTTTATGCAGTCTTTGGATATTAGTATGTTTATAGGATTTCTGAGATCGAGATCTCAGATCACCCGTCGTTATCTTAACCTTCCTTAACATTTTAATGAATGAATTTAATATGCCTAATAATTAAACATCGTCAATGACGTCATTAAGCTTTAATTAATATTACCAGAAACAATTTGATATTTGAGGTGACGATTTCGTTAATTGGATGTTGTTATCATTTCTTTACCTATGTATTTCTTTGATCACAAATTAAAAACAAATACAAGAAGGCAATTATTCAAACATCAACATGTACATCAAACAATGTTTACATCTTCATCTGCATATCCTATGCAATAAAAACAATCTTGGTAACATGTACACAGTAATGACTAATAGGACAAGTATGGTATTATAGTGTGTAGTAAAAACACTGTATATTTACATCGACTGAAATTTTTTTCTCCTCGTTTCTAGAAAATGACAAGGAAAAAGACACATCAAACAGCGACGGATACACAGTAATGATTAAATAGGACAAGATTGGTACATGTATGACAGGGCATTATAGTGTGTAATAATAGATACTGCTACACGTCATATAGGAGAGAGAGAGAGAGAGAGAGAGAGAGAGAGAGAGAGAGAGAGAGAGAGAGAGAGTTTATTAATTTGCTATTTATGGTAAATATTTTGACGCGCGTTAAAACGTGCGAAGATGAAAAGAATTTCAGCAATGTACAGTTGTAAACAGGTGCTTAAAAGTAACTAATTTTTTGTTTATTAATATCGTTTATTTATTTTTAAGTGTAAAAATGATAAGTTTTAAATACTGTTGTTTTTTAATTCCACAGTGTTCAAATTTCACTATTTCTCAAAAAGTACCAATAGCAATGGTTTTATGTAATTTTACGCTGCCAGAAATAGATTAAAATTTCTTATAAGGATTTTAATGTTTTACAGACCAATGAAAGCCTTCAGGATGGGATTAATTACATGGAAGAATAATGAATCGCGAAAACAGTGAAATTAAAACCATCGTGATTATTTGCCAATCTAAGTGCATGTACAATATAATTCACATGTATGGAAAGACTGTATTAAATTCTAGAATTTTTCTTAGATCCAATTTGTAAATTTATAGACTATAATTATATATTTAAATCATAAATTACTTATACATTTTATACATATACATAATTATACAATGCCAGGAGAGAGAGAGAGAGAGAGAGAGAGAGAGAGAGAGAGAGAGAGAGAGAGAGAGAGAGAGAGAAGTCAAAGTCATTCACTTGATCAGATAAATAAGCCACCTTTTTTTCCTAAGCAGAACGTTACCGGATTACATATTTGAAAAAAAAAATTAAAAATAGGTCAAATATTCATAGAACAAAAACGTCATGCAGCGTTTCAAAGTTAAATACCATATGGCCCAGAAGAGGCCTCTTCTACTTATCACACAAGGCTAAAAATCTCCTGAGACATGCCCTTTGAAAATAGTGCTTTATTATTTATTGATCAAATATCTTTAACTGTGCAAAATTTTTTAGTAAAAAAAGGCTTAAAAGCAAAACTTATAATAACGAGCCTGGTTTTTGAAAAAATAAAAGCAAAAAAATTTAACCAAAAAAAAAGTTATTCATATGTATGGAAAAAAATAAATAAAATGATAAAATAAATAATAATAAAATAAATAAAATCATTAAAAAACAAAAGCAAAATATAAAGTGAATAAATCATCTTTTGTACTTAATTAAAAACAGGAAGCAATATCTCTTTAATTTTAGCAAATCATATCATAGTAAGATGTACATATGTATACAGATCCCTCTTCACCAGTTCACGGACAAATACTTTCCGGATATCCTGGGGAATTCAAGCTTAGATACAGGAAATAATCCCTTCAATCCGATAGAGCCCCGCCAATAATACATGTATCGAGCCGACCCATTGAAGCTATATAGTCCTTATAACTCTCTTCGGCGGTCTCTCTATAAATGTGTTCAATGTATAGGCATTGGAGTGGGAGGGAATGAACTCATTTTTAGCCGGGGCTGAAAGCAAAGACCTGGCGGTAAGCATCATGATGGACTGTTTTACAATAAATGGCACAGTAAACAAAAATCCCAACATCACCAAAACAGAGGCTTCCGATAAACAAAATAGTCCCATTGCAAGATTCAAGAAACAAAATGCATATTGTAAGTGAACTATTTTCAATAGCGCGGGCTTTTCCAAAAGTTGACATTGTTGAAGAGTTTCATATTAGTTAATTTTAAGAATTAACATGCGTGAAGTCGCTTGACAATGTACATTTATCATTGTTTCTACATGAATAAAAGTTTTGTTTTTTTTGAAACAGAAAAAAAAATCGTCTATAAAAATACATGTAATTATGCAGTATTTAATCTATTTCAAGACTAAATTTTAAAATTATGAGAAAAAATGCTTATTGAATACAAGATATGTGAGAATTTTTAGAAATATTATTTATTAGATTTTAAAATCATAACATATCTTGGGGTCTGAAATGTTAATTTTAATTACTGGTACAAGGGATATTGTTTGAAATCATAATCAAACAAACTTTACCTGTTAAAAATGAATGGCCAAAAGGAAGGATATAAAAAATATACTAATTTCAGATCAGACAATATACTCGAGCAAGTAAAGCCCGGCTTACTTTGATTTCTAATTGGAATATATGTAGACGGATAAAAAAGACAAACGATTTTTTTTTTTTTAGAAATCAGCAATTTTTTCTCATAGATTTGTATTTAAATCGGTATCCTGAATAATTTGTACCAAGAATAATGTTAGATTTAAAAAAAAATGTGATTATAATAAATATATGTGCAAAATATTGTATGAAATTATATAGAAAGCAAAATAAATTCTATTATTATATAGTCTGGATTTGAATAGATAAGACAAAGAAGGCTGTATGACGACACCATTTGCGATCTTCCATTGTTGAAAATGAAAAAAAAAATCTCCAGATTACAGTTTGTAACCTCCGTGTTTTCCTTTCCGAGTTTTGCTATGTGTAAGACGTCCAAATATTAAAAAATAATCCTGGCCTCGGTCAATATGAATATTTTTTCTGGTTCTTCCCACAAAAAATATATAAACCATATTCAACACCAAAAAATATCCATAATTGTATTTTTTCTTAAAAGTACCAAGGAAAACCCACAATTTTTTATATTCCAGAAAAGTCTTGTCAAAAGAAATCATGTCATTTATTCTTTGTTGGTGTGTTTTTGCGGAAAAATATAACATTTTTTGCAAAGATGGAACATAGTTTATTTCTCAAAACATTATTCTTTTTGAGTTTGTGGTATTATAAATGATATATCTATATTGATATTTCTAAGATTCCCCCTCCTCTAGTCTGCATTATTTTATTATGAATGAAGTAAGGTCAAAAGGCTGTGCCGTATAAGCATCAAAACTCAAGTGCATACTTAAATCCTTTATTACTCACTAGTATACACACATGTTAGTGACATGAACTACATTTAGAAGTCTACAACAAAAAGTTAAATGCATTTCAAATGTCTCTTTCTTTAGTCTTTAGATTGTATTGTTTGAGAATATATGTAACTATATAGCCGATGCATACAACTACCTATATTAAACCTTTACTCCTAATGAAGGGGCTTGTTTCTAATGATAATTTGAATGTGATCTATGTATACATTTCGCTTTGTAAATAAGCTTACATGACTATTCGTTTTAATAATCATGGAAGTGCATTTGACCTACAAGTATTACAAGCCCGCAGTTTTTATCAATCACGTGAGACGACCTTCATAAATTCACAATGTTATGAAAATCTATTGTTACCTGCCACAAAGTTTTCTTTTCAATATAACACGAAATTCTCGATCAAAATATCCATATATCATCGGGTTGATCACTGCATTTAAAATATAAAGATTTTCGAAAAAGCCTTTTAAAGCAATATCGACATCGCTGAAATTAGCTGCAAAATTCTTGTCCATGGCTTCGATAGACTCAATAGCCAAACGGGGGGCA